CTTCTGAAAGACTGGGATGATGGTGGTCGCACTTTTCTTTTGCACAAACAGCAATGTGTTGTCTAATGTCCACCTGCTACACAGGTGTGCAAGAGAATGAAATAATGCAAAGGAAACAGCTGAGCTCTTGCACACTGTTAACACTGGCTTTATTAGAAATACAGCACTGACAGCATTTACAGTGACAGAAACACTGCATTTCATTTAATTAATGTAGCGCTGATGGAGCGTGGTAATACAACTTTTCTTTCATTTCCTACAAACGGCAGCTATCCTCAGCAAGCCAATAAGAATATATCATCAGTGACTAATTCTCCTGCAGACAGGTCAGTGGTTCAGTTCAAGGAGAATTTATGACTCTCATCTCGAGTCAATGAGGGTTTTATTTTGCTTCAGTTACGGGCTGTCTCTCCATTACTCTGATCATACAATAATAAGACCCTGTGAGAGGCGACGCATAATGTTGAGGTCAGAAATAAACACATAGGCAGAAGAAGCTTTACCTTCCAACCTCTCCTGTTGGATGAATGGTGTTTTTCTTTCTCACTGACTAATTTTGGTGGCTTAGTATTAACAGAAAAATGTGAGACTTGGGACATCCGGTCAAAGAAGCCCTCCTCATCCCGGGCCACACCTTCCACACCTCCTCACTGCCGATCCTACGAGTCATCTGGCCGGTTCCTTAAATCCTTGTTGTAATGACTGTAATGCTGCAGTAACACATTAGTCATGCAACAGGTTGGAGTGGAATGTGAATGACAGCTAACCAAGAAGTGAACCTCAACAGTTGCTGCAGTGATATACACAAAAGTGTCTGTCAAAAAGAAATGATTCCAACCCTCAGCAAGCTTAAACAGCGATCCCACATGTCTGACAGACACACAGTGAATCTACAATTCTCTCACATCTTATCTCGCTGCTTTCTTAAGCTATGCACTCTGTTGCACTAGCAAGTCTCTTATCACTTTAGGAGAATAATAGACTAACCTACATATATTAAACAAAAAGTTAATAATTACTATTTAGCAGCAATGGAGAATTTAAATGCACTGGCTTCAATACACTCAAAATAAAAGCCTTTAGGTAATATATAAACAAAAAAACTCATTTCTAGAAGTGCTTAATGAAGAACTCACTCCTTTGGCATTGTTTTTACATTTCATAAGCATCATTTTACACCAAAGGGGCTGAGCCAAAGATGAATCAATCTAAAATAAGTAGATTCTCTTTTTCACCGTTCATGAGCCTGTGACCGACCACGCATGAGTCAAACCAACAATGCTCTTTCAGGCATAGTTGACAGACACCTCCAGCATCTGCTCTTTTCATTCAACAAAACAGATCCCTTTGGGTGTTGCCTCTTCGCAGACAGGTGAGGGGAGACACGAGGAGTCAGGAGGAGGGTGGAGCAGATGTGACTTTACCAGGGAGCAGTGTCTCCTGCTATCAGTCCAGACAAAACCAGAGCCTGAATTGGAGAGCTTCCCCTTCACCCAGGATCAACTGGGGAGTGTTAATAGATTCAGAGTGGATCAACTGATGGCTATCGTGTTTCGCTGTTTTGACTCAGTGTGCACTGACAACCCAACAAACATCTGCATGTGCACCACTGTGGTGCAATGCAGATGTTTACACCCATGTCTTTGTAAAAAAAAAGGTCTTGTAATCAATTCAGCTTTACCAAACAACATTAAACTGCAAACTGAGCTTTATATGGGGTGCACAGAAAACAAAACGGTTCAGCTTGTGCTTATTGTGATAGAGCCTAATGGACTGTAACACAAGAGGTAGCACTCAATCACAAGTTCATCACTTATTTGTTTTCACTGCAGGTTACGTTAAAGGTGTAGAGCGATAATGAAGTCTGTTTTTATCACTGTCAGCGGCGAAACAAGCAGGTAAACACATGTGGATACTAGGCAGGAGAACAGGTTTAATTATCTCTATCCCACAAACAACAGCAGCACACAGGAGGTTAACACTGATAACTGAATATTGATCAGGTTCACAGCAAGAGCACAGGTTAGGCCACACCTTCATTGCCTGTTTCAAAGACAGGCAACACCGCGTATCATTTATGTAGCACCAATATCAATTAACACCAAGTCACACTCCTCTCACATTCTTTGCTTAACAATGAAACTTAATAAGGATCAGAAAAATATTTGGTATCAAAATAAGCTGCCACTGTAAAACATATGAGAAAAGGTACAAGAATGATATATTCAGGTTTAAGGAAACAAATTTTCATATGTAGACAATATATAAATATTATATATGTCATACTAATAAACACAAATAACCAAAGCAACAACAATAATCATCATCATCATCATTCAAAATAAATATATTTTATTTCTATTTCCTAACTTCTGTTGTGTTGATAATTTCAGTTTCAAATGAAAAACCACTATATTTTAAACCTACAATTATATTCCAAGCTCAAGTGATTATAACAATCAAATTCCATATACAAGAAATATGATTTTAAGAATTTTTCACTAACACAAAAAATTCCATTAGTTTGCACAATAGCTGTCAGCACTGAAATCAATATTATAACCTACAATTTTCTAACAAAATTAATGTGACCACATCTATGTTTTAGTAGAAATAACATTAATTTTTAAAACCCTGTTTAAAATATGACTAATAAAATGCTAGTTATTATTCAGTATTTTCTATGACAAGAAACTTCAAAAGCTTTTACAAATAAAATCAAAAAGCTACTTTACTTCTTTTTAAATTATTCAAAGTAGAATTATGCTCAAACTGGTGCCTCTAGAGTAATTTGAAAGATCAAATTACAAAATATATGTAAGTGAAATAACTTTTAAATGATAATTACGATGTCAAAAGCACCAGACTTCACACCATTGTCTTTTCTAGATTGTTTTTTCAAAAAGGCCCAGTCTTTTACAGAAAAAACTCATTAGCAAACATTTTGTTTTTACAAACAATCATAATCAGTTATAATTTTTGTCCTTAAAACCACACATTATTTAATTGTAAATCCTACTATGCCTGTTGGCACACTGAAGACACTACACAACAAAACACAAGTGAAATAAACAAGCAATCAGCCCCACACAGCAAACAGCAGCTGAACCAGCCTCACAAAACCAACAAAATCCATCAGGCCTGAAGATGAACTCACATACAACTTTCTAAATGACAACAAAGACTGATGATTGATCCCCTAGTCCTACCCTGTTTAACTATCAGTTCACTATAGTTATCAATTATATTTAAAATCAAATGCATGGGAATGCCTACAATTATTTACAAAAATATTTTAAATACAAGATTTACAAATAACATAAAGGAAATATAAGTTGATTATCCTAAGATTCCTCTATGTCTGAGGCCACAGATAAATTATAGAAACATCTACATTAATTTGCTAGACATGCCCTGCAGAACAAAAATACGCATTGTAGCCTCACTATAAAATGTGAAACACTAAATATTTCTACCACAATAGGAAAAAAAGGTTCAAAACCCTGACTGATAAACTCCTGTGGAGGTGAAAGTTATAAATATGTATATGTACATACACACATATCACCGTGGAAAGTCATGATCACTTTAAACCGATTTGAACAAATACTGTGAAATTAAACCTGCCCAAAAGCTTTCGCCCACTTTACGCTGAGATGTTTCAAACACCTGTCCGTGTCCTACACTGCACTCCTGTCGACCTCACTGATATGGCGAAGATTTCGTCATAAAGCCATGTTCACAACATACACAGGGGTCCAGCAGCTCTACACACGCCGACTGGCCACATACAGCCACATGTTTGGACGTGTGCTCCATCTGATTCCGCCTATGGCCGTGGCCCACCAGGCCAGCCATTATGAGGCTCTCCAACATTGCCAGGGCCTACGTGCACTAACCGAGGGGAGCGGCGCAGGCTTTTACGCCATGTTGCGCTTTGCAGCTTACCAAACGCTTTCAAATCGAGCCATAAAGCGAGGTAATAACACAACAGCTCTGTCGCTTTACATTTTAAACATACACATTTTCCCCACAGTGTTGCACCGCCCCTTCCAAAAAAAAAAGGGCGAGAGCTGTAATGCAGAAAAAGTGTAGCCTGCACAAGAGGGGGAAGAATATGCTGCAAACGCAGAGAGCAGGGGTCACGTGTTCCTCCACATGGCATTGTGGTGAATACTGGTGAATCCATACGTAGTGATAGAGTGTCACTTGGTAATGTTGTGCATTACCAATGAAAAAAATGTTTGTTTTAAATATTTAATAATGTAAGAGCTGGTAGATTTCTTGTGTCTGTAAACTGCGTGGAAAACCTTATAAAAAAGGCACAAATCAAGTCAGTGGGGTCGTGGATGTGGAGTAGAGGGTTGTGAGTGTGGAGCTCACAAAACTCAACTCTCCAGGCGCGCGCGTGCGCGCGCACATCCCTTCTCTTTCACGTATATACACATATAGGGCTATAGTAAACAGGAGGGGCCCCGCTGATTGGAATGCAGCTCGTTGTGCATTGCAGTGCTACGTTTGGTAATGCAACCCAACTTTAACGCCTACGTGTAGGAAAAACTGCCTCCTGGGGAAACAAGTCATATGCGTCAGTCGGTTATAGTAAAGTCTGATGATTCAAATAAGTTGTAAATATTAGACGTATACACTGTGTGTCTGTGAGTGTGTGTCCGTGTGTTACAGGTGGACAGGCCTTGTTGCAGATCACGCGATATGGCAGCAGCCACCGTGTGTTCTGTGGATAAACTGTTTCTTTGTCGCTTTCTTTCTTTTGTTTCATCACCACGCAACTGCATTTACATCGCCAGAAAATAAACCAACAACAGCCTGGTAGAAACCACACACTGAAGCCGAGAGGAGAGGAAAAGCTGCTTGCTATATTTCACAGCGGAAGCCTACAGGTCAAACTGTCTGCCATAGGGCACAGTACTATAGGGCGTATGACACAATGTGTGTATGTGTGGGTGTGGGTGAGTGTACGTGTCAGATTGTAGGCCTACCTTAGTTTTTTGGGAACAGAGTAGTCTACCTCTATCGCCTTTCCGTGTAATTCAACTTTACCTGTAAGGACGAAATTGATAGTGTAACGTTAGCTGTGCGTATGAAAGCAACAATGCAAGCTGGTAGGCCTACAAAGCAACACTTTGAATCACTTCACCAAGTAGGTGCGTCCCCATTCAAAGAGCCAACCCATAAAAAAAGTATAGCTACCCTAACCCTACTGGCGGGTTGTGCGCTCGGAGGCGGATAAACTCTATATGCTTAGATTAAAACAAGCACAATGTGGCATTTTGTGGCGACAATAGAAGGGATCGGCGCCAAAATGAAGCATGATAAGGTTATATAGAATGGGGAAATGGGCAGCCATGCTTTCCACTCCCACAACCCTCCCAGTGTAATGAGGGGCATTTTTTTTCTGCTCACTCTAAAGAATGCTACATTAAAGAAGAGATGGTTTGAAACGAGAATGACTTGTACTCTTTCTGTTGTAGGTGGGTGTTTCTTAATTGTCCGTGTTGGGCCGTGTGCGTTCGAAGCGCTCCTCGGCGAAGCTTGGAGCACGGCTTTCCGTTACTATTATGAGTGGCCTGGCGCAGCACGGAATTAGCGTCTCACCTCGTCCCCCCTCAGCTACCTGTTTATTAGCTCTTTCCTCCGGACCCCCACGACCCACCTCCAAGACACCTCGTAAAAACATACCCAGACATCAGAGGAACAGGGATCAGGGGAGTTTTCCGCGATCCTTTCGCTGTGCTCTCTTTAATAAAATCAAGATAAAAAATAAGTGAAAAATAATTATGCCTACCCGAACCATCAGACCATCCCATACATTCCAGCGGGTGACTGCAAAGTAGCGCCCACACTATCGGAATCTCCAAAATATAGGTTATTTTGCGCGTTAATTGCGTTACGATGGCTCGTGTTTTCTTTAGACAAACGGGCACTGAAGCCCCCGGTGTGCCCTGCTATCGATCATTTATCCAATTTTTGTTGGAGCGTGCATGACTGAGCGTTCACCTAAACTCTGGTGGCACACGGATGTGATGGTAAACACTGTCCCGAGCAAAGAAAATAAGGCAAACATTTATTAATATTTCACATTTCGGACACCATGCGCTCTTGTGTTATTTTAACCCGATCTCGCAGTTTGAGTCGGTGTGAATTCTTCCTGTCACTAAAGCAGCATCACTTATCAAATCCACACTTACCAGAAAGAGTCTCTATAGCCTTTATGGCCGAGTTCTGATCGGGGAAGTCCACAAAAGCATAGCCGGATTTCAGTAGGACCTGGTCGGCCACTGGAAGCTTCCTCTCCCCAAAGAGCTGCTTCAAGTCCTCGACAGTGACCGAAGGACTTAAATTCCCAACATATAGTTTGTTCATGATCTGAAAGGAAAAATCTCGAAGCGGTGTCAGATCTTAGACTGAGAGAGTGGCGATCTTCAGAGAAGCAGAAAAAATAAGTAATACAAATAAAATAAAATTTAAAAAATCTGCTGGGATCTTTAAAAAAATGCAATCACCCCCCGAGAAAATTATCAAACTATAGGCGACCCCCCAGCACCAACTCTGGCCCTGGTCAAACTCTTTTAACAGGGACTGGGGGGAAAGTGTCGTTACGACGCTACTCTGGAGCCGACAAGCACCGCCTCTAAACACAATCTCATTTAAAATCAGATTAAAAAATGTTTGGAGGTGCATGTGGGATCACTCCTGCTTTCCCAGAGTATAAAGTGCATTAGGGTATGAAAGTGGCATGGTGATCACTGGATACATTCAGCAAAGGGATGGGCTTATAGGAGGCAGAAGGGTTATTTCATCAAATCATAATAAGGGCCGTGCCTTGGGTCCCTCCAGGCGGGGATAACGATAAAGGGCTACTGTGTGGGAAATCAAGTCTCTGTCAGTGTTCTTCTCGACCCGAGTAGTGTCACTAATCCTCACAGTTTGCATTTATTTATTTATGAGTGACACAGAAATATGGATTTATGCAGCGGTGAACAGTAGGGGGTCCAAACCTGGCCTGGGCGCCTGTGTGAGATATTATCATGTAATAGATAACATCAGAGATATTATTTATGGTCTCGTAGGCTTAATACCTGCCTACACCTATAGAACAATACAAAGGGGGTTACAATCACAGGAAGTGAAATATCAAAGCAGCCAATCTTGTGAATTCTGTGCAGAAAAAAAAGTGACAAACTATCCTGCATTTTGCTGGTGGCTCCTACTTTAAGGGGCCACTGTTTAAGGGGGTATGGCCTCATTCATATCACACAATGTTAAAAAACACGATGACGCTCTTGGTTTGCATTTCAACCTGTGGATAGTCCTGACAGAATGCAAAATGCAAGAACTATTTTAAGAGGTGATAAGGAGAAGTGAAGGGATTCCTGGCCTTGCGCCGGGAGAAGGCGTCATGCTGTGTAGCCTATAGGTTACAGACGCGATACAGCATCTGCAGTGCTCATGCATGGATGTGTTGTACTAGTTACCAAGGGGAGGAGCCTTCGCCTGCAGCACTTGAGTGCTTCTACATGTGACCGGCCTGTGCCTTGGAACATTACTGCCACCCGACTATAATGGAGAGAGTGCCAGCAGAAGGAGTGACCCTTCTTCTCCTTGTTTACGTGAGAAACAGAAATGACCAAGCTGTGGTCCATTTACAAAACAGCTCTTCAGTTACTTTCCTGATGACACGCTAACAGTCATTATAGGTCTTTCAGCTGAAACTCATTCAGACCTGACGGTAAACTACCCGTTCATTTCAAAACGCATCCACTGCACGGAGACATTACTGTATTAACGGTATAAATAAAACACGATCCAGTTTGTACCTTTAACCTTGAACTGTTTGCCTTTCCAGTCAAATGGCAATCTTTTTTTTTTTTTTACTTTTGTAAATGGACAAACAGCAGAAAATTGTCACTACACACTGAGGATTTGTGCACCTCCTTTCCTTTTACATGTTGCGCCCATTTAGGTCAGCACATGCTGACAAATAACTCACCCACCCAAAAAATGTTTTCCACTCAGAAAGGAAAATCAGCTGGGACAGGAAGGGATGTGACATTTGGGGAACACGAGGAGAAGGGCTGACTAAAACAAATAGCACACACATATGAGCATGCAGACTTGTGGTAAAAAAAGGGAAATAAATCTGAAGTTTCCAAGGTGTGTTCAGCTGTGTGACCGAGGGCGCGTCTTTTCATTGGTCTTCACGGTCTACACTTGATCAATGAACATTTTTGGAACATTGGTCTTCACGGTCTACACTTGATCTGAACAATGAACATTTTTGGACTATGTGATTCGTCCTATTACCTACAAGTGTTTCAGTTAACGTGACTTGTGTCTTTTATCGATTATTTTAAATGCTTTTAATTCAAAGTTCATTTTATTCATGCGTAAAAACGTGGGATTTACAGTATAACCAATACATGAGGGGGAAAACCCTGTAAATAAAACATTAGAAACAATAAAAAAAAAAATCCATAATAACACTGTGACATAGGTAAAAGAACCAAACAGCACACATCATCTTAACAAATTTGTTGTGGTATGTTGTATCCCCTGTGGGATAAAACATGGCACAACAGTCTTCACATCACTATTATTATATGAACCATCACAAAGCTACATTGTCCAATAAACCAATACGTTGAGTTAACATTTACTCAAGTAGTTCTGAGAAAATCTTAGGTACTTCATAACATTTCTTCGATGGTCACTTGAAGATGTTTTTTATTGCTAAAAACCTATTTAATGCAATAATTATAGTTATAAAATGTATATCACATATTAATGCATTAACATATTTCCAACAGGAAACACCTTTAATTTAATGGTTGATTCACATAATCACACAAACACACCAAACAAAGGGTTTTCAAAGTGGTGAGTACCAGAAATAAAATCTATTCACCTCCTATGTGAGTGGGTGAACAGAGGAATGGATACTGTAAAACATGGGACAATTAAAACTATAATTATCTGAATGGCCACTAAAGATATGTGAAGCCTTTTTATCATTTGGATGAACTAAGGTAAAGAAGCAACCTGTTGTTTCTGGCCTTCTCTCACTTGAGGATTGGAAACATAATAAGCAGAGGTGTAAAGTAGTCAAGTACATTTACTCAGGTACTGTTCTAAAGTACAATTTTGAGGTATCTGTACTTGAGTATTTTCATTGTCTACTTCTTCATACTTCATTTCAAAGAACAATATCATACTTTGTACTCGCTACATTACTTTGATAACTTTATTTACTTTTCAGAATGAGGTTTATAAAACAAACTACAGTACAACCATAAGATTTATTGATCCTTGGTGTAAAATTCACAAGCTACCCAGCAGTAATTCAAATTATAAGGTAGTTAAAATTAGCTCTACCTTTACCAACTGCAACATTAAATGCAATGTACATAATAATACATCAATAATTATAATAGAATATAATGTGTATCAAGGTGAATGAGTACTTCCACTTTTAGTACCTGAAGTATATTTTATGCTAATACTTTTGTGCTTTTACTTAAGTAACATTTTGAATATATGACCTCTATTTGTAACAGAGTATTTAACACCATGGTATTGCTACTTTTACTTAAGTAAATACTTCTTCCACCCCTGAGTTTACACCATCCTTTAAGTCAGGGAAGCTGGATCACATTTGGATTCATCTGCGACCACTAGGGGTGGATGTTGTACTTCAGTCGCTGCTTGGCAGGTCTTGCTACACCACAGTGGTGAAATGAACTTGGTTTGTTCAGTTGCATTTACTCATGGATAAGTGACCCTCATACTGTAACGAGTGCCATATAGATGTGAATTTTTGGATAACTGTTTAAACCTGAGCCTGCTTGACTGAAAAGTGGTGGCATTTAAATTACATTTACTGTATAGCTGTTAGTCGGGATATTTGCCTGATAATCAGACTCAACTTCATTACTTGAATTGCTGGAAAAAAAGCAAAATTGTGATCAGTGGTTCAGAGGTCTGGAACCAGGCAAAGGAATATGTATCTCTAATATTTTCCCCCATGGTTATTAGGTAGGCTGAAGCATTACTAAAGCACTATGCCAAATCCAGTCTATCATTGCAACTTTTTTTTTTTTACATCAGTTGGATGTATCATATAAAAAAATCTACTATTTCAAGTCATGGACTACTTCAAATGCATAATACATACTAGTTAAAATACTTTGTACTGCTGTGTTCAGTGTTAGAACCTTTTTTTTTAACTCAAAGCATTTAGACATTTTCAAAAAGCCACTTTAGATGTGTTTTCTAAATGTTCACAATTAGGAATTAACAAAAGCTTAATTGGTATCTTGGAGATGTATGTTTGTATAGTTTCTGTGATGAAAGCCTCAAGACCTTATAAGTGAGCTCATGTTTTTCCTATAATCACCATTCATTTGTCACAGTTTAACAGTGACTGTCAAGAAAACCTGAAACATGTGGTATTGACATGCATAGCAGTTCCTACTGTAAAGGCTGAGAGAAGTAAATGTCTGCAGAAACTAGCACATAGCAATGTAATGTGATGAAGGCTTTAATACACCCCTTGTCTGTGTTTTAACAGCCACGCAACAGCAAATGTTTTAAGACAAAGTAGGAGTCACGTAAGAAAGGACGAGTCAAAGTGGAAGAAATGCACGGCCCTTTTAATCCACTCAGTAATTTTACAAGATCAAAACATTAATAGAACATTTATGCCAGGTGTTGCCTATATAATTAACATTAAAAACATCTGGACACCTTGACTCATATTTAATGGTCTTTTACATCAAAAGTGTGATGCTCACATTACCAAAAAAAAAAAAAAAAAAAAGGGTACTTTGTTATCAGTCATACCAATCAAACTTTTCATGTCGGTGACTGGGAAGAGGAGGTTTCAATAGCGACCTGGAAAACCAACAGAGTCATTAGACAAACCCCGGCACACTGCAACCTGTTGAATCCATGGATAAAACAGTAAAGTTATGAAAAACGGGACTTACGGGGAGAATAAGACCGTGATCTGGACCGAGACCTGTAAGCCCCTCTGTAGTATGGTGATGGAGATCGCCTTCTGAAACAAGACAAAATTAATGGTTTCCCATTTTTGTCTGAACAGACTGAACAGGAAATAAAACACCATGAATGTAGGGATCAATTTTCCTACAATAATGTTAAGGTTTAGTTTAAAAGACTGAGATAGTCACCTGTATGATCTGTAGTAGTCCCTGTCGTCATAGCGATCGTAGCCGCCTCTGTCGTATCCACGATCATACCCACGGTCATAGTCACGTGAATAGCGTCGAGGGCCGCTGGGACCACCTCCACCACTACACACAAGAAGAAAATAATGAGTTGTACACCTTATTTTCCTGTTAAAATACCACCTCCTATTAAAAATATTTCCTCTTCATGTTACACTGAGGTTATTTTAATATTATAAAAGGGGATGACATAAGAAAGCTGGCTTTTCAAGTCTGCTGTTATTGCTCTTGCTTTTCAGGTGAATAAAATGGCTCCTCTTTTCATTCAATTTTAAAAGTTAAGGACAAACGACTTCTTCAGTCTGTCAATGGAGCAGGAGAGAGGCAGCAGCTTACTGCTAAATGAACTCCTTTCCTGGTGATGGTGCTGTGCAGTCTGTGATGAACATGGTGCATGATGAACAGCAGCTTACTGAGGGGCTTCTTCTCCACTATGAAGGTAAGGCAGTTCAGCTCTATACGCTCTACAGAGCCAGCTTTCCTCATCAGGCTGTCCAGCTGTGAGGCGTCTCTCTTCCTAATGCTACCCCAAATGTTGAAGGACCCCGGCCTCCACAGAAAGTACAGACGACTCTGTCACTTCCTGTACAGTGCATTTATGTTGGTGGACTAGTCCAGTTTGTTGTCCAATTGCAGACCCAGGTAGTTGTAGGTCTGGATGACCTCCACACAGACCTTAAAGGACACTGGCTACAGGTGGGATTTGGGCCCGAAAGTCTACCACCATCTCTTTGGTTTTGGAGGTGTTAACATGTAGGTGGTTAGACTTGCGCCATGCCACAAAGTCCATCACCAAGCTCCTGTACTCATCCTTCGGTCCATCCTTGATACACCCCATCATTGTAGTCCATGTTCGTAACTTTGCCAAATAATTTGTATTCATTTGGAAACTATGAATATATTACAAAAATACTACCTCTAAAAGCCAACAGATTTTTTTCTCCAATCATGACAACTTGACAAATTCTAAGCACTGATCACCGTCTTTCATACATTAGTAAAAAAAAAAAAAAAACCTGACCACACCAGACAATATGTTAAATGAAGGAACTAGAACAAAACACCACATGAAATGCGGTAATATGAACAGAACAGACACCAAGTATGGTTCTGATGGCTTACTATGTGGGCCGGCCCATGTAGATTCCAGGAGTTGGGGTGTGAGGTCTTTTTGTGATGGAAAAATCCACCCTGATCCTGCGACCATCCAGCTCCATGCCATTGGCTCGTTCCTTTGCCTGATAGTGAGCAAACAAATCAATCACCTGTTAAAACCAATAAAATATTTCTCACACAAGTTTGTCAGAGGCCCTTTTCAACTATACCTCATTAGCGTCATCTGTGTTTTCAAAGTAAACAAAAGCAAAGCCCCTGGAGCGCCTCGACTGCTGGTCATACACAATACTGACATCCGCCAGGGGCCCGTATTTAGAGAAGACATCCCTCAGATCCCTCTCTGTGGTGTACAAGCTCAGGCCAAACACTCCCAGGCAGCAGTTTGGATCTGGATTCGCCTGGATCAAAGATGTTAACGTTTGGACATAATCATTCTTTGATACAATCATCTATGGAAAGAGAACAAACTCAAAACAATCTACTTTTTGTTTTCATATACCAGGCAGATATAAGATGCTGAACAGCTACACAGCAGTGCTTTGGAACACACACATATTCACACATCATCAAAGCAGAACGGAAAGTCTGCTGATAGTTTCTTAGAACGGGCCACTGAGCACTTACACGGTTGCCAATGTGCCTACGGCGATTGGACATGGGTGAGCGGCTATGGCTTCTTCGTCTGCGCTCTCCACTGTAGGACCTACTGCGAGATCGGCGATGATAGGACCTTGAACGTGAGCGAGATCGGCTGTAGTGTCTGCGTGAGCCACGGTAGGAATGGGACCTGTATAAACACAAAACAACACTCATTCACAATGGTTCTATGGATAGTCAGATTCTTCTACAACTCTCTAAAGAGACAGACACAGCTCTTCATACCGTCTTCTCAATTGGTAGGTAAGAGTTTTAAGCAAATGCAACTTCAAAAACAAAGGGGGGGGGGATAGCACTCACCCAGATTTAGACCTGGACCGGGAACCAGGAGAGCGAGCCGGGGAGCGGCTCGCAGACTTCCCTGAGCCCTGTGGACTCGCACTCCTGGATGCAGAGCGAGACCCCTGAACGAACCACACACACACCAACATGCATCTTATCAGGACCAATAAGAGGACAAAGTGATAAGTGTTCTTAAATATTTGTGTAGTTAAGAATTAAGGCAGAATTTAGGATAGTGAATTAGGAATGCAGGTTAATACTATTTTGTGTAGGCATTCACAGTATGGTAATCTATATAATTGTCAACATGATGAAATTAAATGTCAGTTGTGTAAAAATTGTAATCTAATTGTGAACTAATGTGTTGTATTCAATAACAAGAACATGCACGCATTTGACAAACAGACGAGAAAAATTACTTAGCGCGGTGACCTTATCCAGATTACTTCCTCAACTTCATTTCTGAAACTTCATTACTTCACATTATTCTTCTTTCTTCAATTGTCTTACTTCTTCTTACTTCCCCCATCTCACACACTGCCCATACTTCTTCCCTCCTCATGTTTTAGCATGCATTCAACAATTCAGCTTCACACATCTGAGCTTCATATTATTGACAATAAAGTGGACATGAGACTTCTTCCGCATTTTCTTCGTCCAACCTTAACCTTTATGAAAAAGAAAAGGATGAAGAGTATATGACTACAATTAAAACTGCACCCTCATTCAATCTTATGACACCACATAATACAAATCTTCATTGTTAATTTTATAAATATTTCATTTTCAGTGGTTCTACATTCATTCACTGTTCTATTGTTGGCCACCGTTGGTTAGAGGTGTACAAAGCATCATAGACGTAAACAATAATAATGGAAGGTGTGATCACCTTAAACTGAAAGGTAAGCATGCAAACTTTCATTAAATTTTTCCATTCTGACTGAATCTTGGTATTCTGGTAGGTCACCTGTATATTTACAATACTGTCCTAGACACAGTTATAGTCACAAAATGGTACAGAATTACATGATTACCTTTCAATTCTCAGTCTCTTTTGTGATAAATATTTTGTGTTCCTTCTCATGCCCACATGAATCCTGTTAACACCATTTCTTCTAAGGGGCCTTTATGGCACTATATTGTATATTTCAAACCACTGAATGTGAATGCTTGCTTAACAGTATCATCAGTTGTTTTGTTTTTTCCAAATATATCTCAGCTTAACCATCTCAAGATCATGCTGCCACTCATTTGTATTTACTTGTACACTAGCATATAGTCCTCTAGTATGTTCAGCAAACTGAATAATTTATTGTGATAAACTAAATCACAACATAGGAGTTTTTGCCATAAGGCAATACTCTTAACATGAGACCATTTCAGGACAATCACACTGTGGAGGCTGGTGTGCAGAACATTTAGGTTTATTAACAAGTCCCAGTCTATAGCGCTTTTCAAATATGGTGCCCATGAATCTGCAGGCTACATGTAGCTGTGTAGCAGATTCCTTTTTTTTGTCGTTCAGACATAGCTGCTGCGCGCAAAAGTTCCAGCAAGGATTTGTAGGAGTCACTGGTCTGCGTGGACAATCAGTGTCTCTAAGAAAATGCTTGTCTAACATGCCTAAATACATTTTATAGATAAAATAAAAAAACTAAAAACCTGCCCTTTGCACTGTGGTGTCTGAAAATGGTTTGTCATAGAGAAACACTCAAATATGTTATAAATGTATCTCTTCTCACACTAAACTCAGTGTAACATTTGCCTCTCATACACACTCCCTATGTGAGCCTGTGACCCTTGCAAATACTGACAAGGCACTCACAGGCCAAAATTCAAACAACAGCCTATTAAACAAAGAGAAATGTCACTAACATCTGGCCATTACAGGGGCTGTGCACACTGGATGCAACTGCACAGTAGAGTATGCAGGGTATACTACTGTACGTGTCTTTGTTCACAGTTTTATCTGCTGGCAGGGGGCATGAATCAAACTTGCTTTCTGATCTTGCAGCATAACATTACTATAACACTGCTAGGTTTGTGTTTACATACAAGGGCTGAATGTGTGAATTCATGCAAATGAATAAAAAGAAATCTTGAAGCCGTATGTTTTAAACTTAAAATGTCTAACATCATTATGTTGCTTGAGTGATATAATTTGCCACATTCAATATGAAAAAAAAAGTGAAATACTACAATGAATGTTAGCAAACATCACTCAGTTGAGACCCTATCTACTCTGAAAGATGTTTACCCAAAATTTTAATTAAAAAGTAGCACTCAAAATTTGAACATGCAAAATAAATGTTTTATTACTCAGGAAAATTAGCCCATAATCAGACATTTAAAAAAGAAAATTTGACATTAAAAAATAAATATTTTTTGACGTGTTTCAGTATAGGACAGGCATGTAGGACAAAACATATATCCAAAAAACAATTTAGCCTATATAGATAATTAAATACTTTGGGGGGAACAATTAATTAAGGACGGATTTGCCTGAATAATAAAACACATTCTCCTTCGCATCTTCTATTTTTCTCCGAATTTCGTGTTTAATATGAATTGTGGATAATATATCCCTAAATAACATTAGCATGGCTCAATTGATAAAATGAAACTCATTAAATTAAATATACTTTAATACTTAATGTTGACATCTTTCGGTTTCATTAACGTCAGTCTTTTGAATCAGCGTTAACAAAATAACTAATCTATTACCCCAACAAATTTAACTGCTTACAAAACCTTATTAGCCAATACAGCACAAATTACCTTTTAAAATAATTGATGTTAAACAAAAACACTCCTCACACTAATTAATTTGAATGAACGTATCTACAAGTCGGTTTACTTAATAAATGGGCTGGCTGGTTAGCTAAAGTTAGCATTAACATCACAGCCGTTCAACTGCATGGCTTAACGTTACATAACTTCAGACAGCCTGAGGCCTAACTAACGTTCACACGCCAGCGTTAGCCAGCTAGCTAACGCTCGGTAGTAGACGCCAACATTTAGCTAACGTACTCTACATTTGTTTGAGATACACTTCAGCAATAAAATATTTGCTTATCACATTTATTATAACAAGAATATTTTATAAATAACGGACAATTCAGCAAGAGATATGGACTGCGGGGTTAAGCTAGCTTGCTAACATTAGCTAACCAGCCGCAACCAACACAACGAGGACTGTTAGACAGACGACTCATAAAATCGAATCATTTATTAAGTTTGCGTTACAATCAAAACCTTTAAAAAATCATACATACCCGACGTTTGTCGTTATCGCTCATTTTTACTGACTATTATAAACTAACAGATATTTAGCGTTAAGCCCAATGCTAACCAGCTAACTACGCGAGTGTAACTGTACGCGAGTATGTTGCAGCATTGACTGTTATGGTAGCTCCTCCCTCCGATGTTAACACTACGTCTTACTGCAGGCAGAAAGAGAGGGGCCGAGCTCCAAATGAAGCTATTGCTATTTTGCCGCGCCCACAGCTACTGGGCACAAAATTTTGAATGTTGGTTTGTGCGCTGTGGCATGTACAAATTACAGACCTGTTCCTTTATTTAGCTTTTGTGACAAGTAAGCATCGAGCCGAGTCTTTAAGGTAGGCTACACTGTTCTATTATTTTGTGTTGTCATCGTGTATTAAGATAGTATTGTGACGACCGCTGGCTGGGTTGAGGAGAGCTGGTCCGATCCTGACCTAACTGCAACTACTATCCAGCTGTGTGCTGGCACCTAGACTGACAATGAGGAGAACACCGTCTTTGTCTTTTCTTGGCTTTATTAAGGCGTACAAAAACACGAAAGAAAAGGGTTGTAAAACGCAGCACTGTGTGCTCACTGGAAAAAGTAACAAAAACAGAACATTACAGGTCTCTTCCCGAACTTCACCATCGCCCGCCAACAGAACCTAAAACAACACGCCCACCTGTCATTCCTCTTATACCCTCCCGCACCTGTTCCTCGATCCCCCCATCCCACATTGGCCAGAACAGCGCGGCATTTTGCTAGAAAACAGCAGTAACCAATACATGAACAGCTTTCAACAACAGTGTCAAACCCATTTGCACACAACGGAACACACGAACACCAGCGGCCAGTCAGGGTCGCCACATAGCGCCCACCCGAGAGGGTTAGTGCCCCCACAACCCTCATCAGTCCAACACAAAGTCACTCAAATGTGTGGGGGCCCGGGGTGCACGTCCTGGCCGCCGGGTGGTCCCATCCACGCCAACAGACCCTTCCCCTGTACCACCAGAGTCACTAACCTCGTCGGGAGTGGAGGGGGTGTC